ACAGCTGATGTTACTTAACAAATATTGTTTACTTCGTAACACGTGTAAAAATCCGAATTTCGGATGCTGGCCAAGAGATAACGATAGTAGGCAGTGGAACTCTTGTTCGTCCTTATCAATAGGTTAGGGGTCAGGGGTTATCAATGACTTGATAAGCCAGGCCTTCTCCCATCGGCAGGGACGCTTGTTTTTTTTTGCGGCAGTTCTGATTCGAACGCAGCCATGTGAGTGTTAAGAAGTCCAAAATAAAATTCACATATTTTATTATAATTATATAATAATTTGGAATAACTTGCATTTAATATGATTTTCCAGACCTCAAAGTCATGCAGCAGTCGCGCTCTACACTGTCACAAAAGCTTCGGTTTTGCTTTAGCCGTGACCTGAACACCAAAGTTGGCAACCCGGTTAAACAGCTGAGCGGAGCTTCAACTCGCGTCGCCGCCAAAAATCAGGCCCAATCGCCAGTGGCATTATTCTCGCCGATCTTCAGACGATATTCGGACGGCAAACAAAGCACTTTAAAGGTGAGTGAGCCACAAAAAAAAAACCCTAAAACAAAAGTATAGTTAAGTTCGCGTTCAATTGAGTAAATTAAGGAGATCAAGAAGTGTTCACCCAAGTGATCCGCGTTTTATCTAGTGCTTCGGTTTTACATCGGGGTTTGTTTACCCAGTTTCTCTGCCATGTGCTTCGTTTTCTTGCTAACCATGTGTTTTCTTTTAAATTTCTACCCTTACCTGAAGTATTATAACTGTGGGAGGTAGTTTGCAGAGAGATGTGTATGTACCAACCCTTTAAAAGTTGAAAACAAGCTGAAAGTTGATAAAAACTATATTTATATCTTATAGCATTCATATTCAACGGTATTTATCAAAATATCTCAAATACATCCATTGATCTTTACGTAGATTGTTACTTTTTAATAAAATTTTAAAATCAAACTATACCAGGATTTTTCTGACGATTTAGAATTGAAAAGTTGAATATTGTTATCAACACAATGATTTGTATATTGTTTTTATACATAAAGATATGAAACCCCCAAGATTATAAAATTGGGTTGCACTACTATCAGTTCCCAAAATAGATACTGCTTTTGTAGTAAAATTGTAGAATCAATACAAATCGTTCCATCTAAGATAGGGTATCTAAAGCTTTGCTTTGCTAAGCTCGATTCTTTTTGATTAATGTTGTTGTTGTTATTTGGCAACCTTAGCCTTAAACTCGTTTTGAGGCCTACTCAAATTTCTTGGGTTTTCAGCCCTATCAAGAATTGTTTTTGTTATTCTCTTTTTCACTTGTTTACACATAAATATTGATATCGCTACAAAACAAAAAAACAAACAAATCTGGCACTGGTCATTAAGTCGAATTTCCACCGCCATTGGAAGTGTGTGTGGGTAGATAATAGGTGTGTACATATGTATACTAGCACATATTTTGCATTTTGCACTTGACTCGTGGTCATAAATTAGCATTCAATTTAAAGGGAATTGAATTTCCAGCTTCCAGTTTCAGCTTCAAAAATTCGTTTAAAGGCATCTGTTTTCTGTATTTAATTCATTTTTACCGTGAAGAACGGAGCGAAAGGTTTGAAATCTTCTAGTGTTTGTGAAAAAATCTAGAGAGAATTATTCTCAATTAAAAAACTGTGATTAAAGTTGCAAGGTTTACTTTTACTCTATTTCAAGGAAACCAAACTAAATAAAATAAGTTTGTTCCTACTATAAACTTTATAGCCAATGAAAAATTTAAATTAAAAACTTATAGAGAATCATACTAGAAAACAAAAATCGTATTTAAATCAATAGTTTTTCCAGATCTTATAGCTTATTTCCTTTTTTTTTATGAAGTTTCTGACCGTTAAAACTAACTTTTTGACTTCATTTAATTTAGCTAAGTTTTTATAGTGAATCAATGAAATGTTAATATTTTGTTAAATAAAACTGGAATTTTTACATCTTAAGCTTGTAAAACTTTTTATAAGGCTTCTGACCGATAAAACAATAATTTTTGAATTTCAATAATTAGCTCCACTAGCGAAAAGAATTAGATTCAAAAATTTTAATATTCTGTTGATCTTGCAAATTTTTAAATCTTGAGCTTGTTTTATATAAGGTTTTTTATAAGGTTCTATTAAAAAAAAATTAATTTTTTGCCTATTTGCTATTTTGACTATATAAACATATTCCCGATCTTTCCGAAGTACGTCAGCATTGAAATCGAAGGGGGCCCGCAGTGTCCTTATCGGCCACCAACTTGAACTCCCGACCCAGACGGACAGACTTGGTGATGTAGATTCGAGATAGTTGGGACGCAAATAGCTTCGCTCCCATCCATGGGGGGTATACTTTTCGAAAGCGAGAGAGATTGATGACCCAATGTCATGGGTGTTATATCACATGGGTGTGACATGGCCACTAATTTTTATTCGGCCAATCTAATCGATGGAATGCCCACCTCTCCAGTGGTTGCCATGGTGCATCCAAGGCTAATCTCCGCTTGGCGATAGCTACGCCCCGACACCAGCTTATCAATGGAACTTTTCCAATGCTATTTGAACCCATTGAACCTTTATTTACTTCTGATTTTTCGCAATTCTCTCGGCGGGGAACATAAATATTTTTGTTGTTTGTTGTTTCAAAATGAAATGAAAACATTACTGGCTGCGAATAGCTGACCAGACAGGCATCGCTTTTCCATAGCCCACACAAAGCCAACGATCGTCTTAGCGAACGCATCGCATTGCACTCCCAGAGTCTATTTTATACTATATATTCCCAATTCGCGAACAGAACATGGCTGATCAGAAGATGCTGCAAACCTCGCTGGAGGAGGGTGATCCCGAGTTGGCCAATCTGATCAAGAAGGAGAAGGAGCGCCAGCTGGAGGGTCTGGAGATGATTGCCAGCGAGAACTTCACCTCGGTGGCCGTCCTGGATTGCCTGAGCTCCTGCCTCACCAACAAGTACTCCGAGGGATATCCCGGCAAGCGGTGAGTGTAAATGATATCATAGAATATCATCATATAATAAATAATATAAACCCATCAGTGGGTTCCAAAAATATTTATATTAAGAGGGAAAAAGTTTAGATAATTAAAAAAAAAAATGCTTTAAAGTTAATTATTTATACAATTATTTCGTTACTATTATGAGCTATAATTCACCAGAACATTAATCCTGCAGTTGTTTTTATTTCATTTTGAAATGATCTCAGCAACAAAATAGTAATCAAATAAGATAAGGGATATTTGTTTCCTTATAAATTTGTTTGGAATAGTGTAATGAATAATGTTTTACAATAATTTTTTATAATTAAACTAAACCTAATCTCTGAGGATCTAAGAATTAAAATAATAGTCAAATATCATAAGGGACTTAAAAATAACATAACCCTATTAATTTATTAGGAATAGTCTTTTTTTAACTTCACCTAAGTTTTTTTTGATTTTATAAAATTAAAGTAATCCTCAGTTAATCTTTGATTATGCTTGATTAATTTATACGAATTTTTAATATTTATCACCCAAGCCCTAAGTTACGCTCAAATTTTTTAAAATAATTTGTTTTTAATTTTATTATAATTTAAATGAACCTCAAGTGATATTCTAGTATAGTTAATGCAAATAGCTAACTCACCTGATCCCCAAGTGATCCTGAACTAATTCCCCCGATTCGCAGGTACTATGGTGGCAACGAGTTCATCGACTGCGTGGAGCTTCTCGCCCAGAAACGTGGTCGCGAGCTGTTCAATCTGGAGGAGGACAAGTGGGGCGTTAATGTGCAGCCGTATTCCGGATCGCCGGCCAACTTGGCCGTCTATACGGGCGTTTGCCGACCCCATGACAGGATTATGGGTCTGGATCTGCCCGATGGTGGTCACCTGACCCACGGCTTCTTCACGCCCACCAAGAAGATATCGGCCACGTCGATCTTCTTCGAGAGCATGCCGTACAAGGTGAACCCGGAGACGGGAATCATCGACTACGACAAGTTGGCGGAGGCGGCGAAGACGTTCCGGCCGCAGATCATAATTGCCGGAATCTCGTGCTACTCGAGACTCCTGGACTACGCCCGATTCCGTCAGATATGCGATGATGTGGGCGCCTACCTGATGGCCGACATGGCCCATGTGTCGGGCATTGTGGCCGCCGGCTTGATCCCGTCACCATTCGAATACGCCGACATTGTGACCACCACGACGCACAAAACGCTGCGTGGTCCGCGTGCCGGAGTGATCTTCTTCCGCAAGGGAGTGCGCAGCACCAAGGCCAGTGGCGAGAAGGTGCTGTACGATCTGGAGGAGCGCATCAACCAGGCGGTCTTCCCTTCGTTGCAGGGTGGTCCGCACAACAATGCCGTGGCCGGCATTGCAACCGCCTTCAAGCAGGCCAAGAGTGCCGAATTCAAGAGCTACCAGGCGCAGGTCCTCCAGAACGCCAAGGTCCTGTGCGATGGCCTTATCGCACGCGGCTATCAGGTGGCCACTGGCGGCACCGACGTCCATCTGGTGCTGGTCGATGTGCGCAAGGCCGGACTGACCGGCGCCAAGGCGGAGTACATCCTGGAGGAGGTGGGCATTGCCTGCAATAAGAACACGGTGCCCGGGGATAAGTCAGCATTGAATCCGTCGGGCATTCGCCTGGGCACTCCTGCCTTGACCACTCGTGGTCTCGCCGAAAAGGACATGGAGCAGGTGGTGGCCTTCATCGATGCGGCGCTTAAGGTGGGCGCCCAGGCGGCCAAATTGGCCGGCAGTCCCAAGCTGGCCGATTACCACAAGACGCTGGCCGAGAACGTGGAGGTCAAGTCGCAGGTGGCGGAGATCCGCAAATCCGTGGCCCAGTTCAGCAGGAAGTTCCCATTGCCCGGCTTAAAGGATCTGTAGGTTGATCATCTTCTTTTTTTTTCAATACCTTTTTTATTGGTAACCTCGCCAAAAGAAACAACCTATGAACGAGTAAAATGGTAGTTAAGTCATTAAACACATTTCAATTCATACATATCATAACTATGGAGTTTTATTTTGGGGTGGATCGGATCGTATCGATATATGTTTTATACAGTAGCTGGAATATGTACACGTACTTAAGGAAATATTTTAACAAAAGAGAGGCATCAGTCGACCAAAAACTAAATAAATTGTTTTAAAAATATGCATCTTTTTAAAGCCTGAAATATTTAAATTCTAAGAAGAAAACTTTTTAGAAACTGTTCAGTCTGCTACTAAAAAAAGATAATAATTAGAAGTATAAACATTATAGAAGCTGAAAAGCGCAGTGAACAGAAAATCTAAGGGACAATAACAATTTTTTTTTTAATTATACATTTCATTAAATTAAAATATCTGCATTTTCGTGCTCTTCGTTTATCACCTAGCTTATCTTTGCAAATGGGGACCAAAAATATCGAAATTTTTGTTTATAGATACTAACTTACATCTCAGCTATAACATTTGTATTTAACAATAGTATTACTCTTCAGTTTGATCCTCAAGAGTTGGCTGGTTAAGATGGTTTCAATTCGCATGCCACAAATAGAATACAACAGAATATATAAGATACATATATTGTTTTTGCAACTGCACACAATATAGGAAGATGATCTTTGTGATGCTTATAAGACTGTTTTTTTCATCGCTAATCCAACAGAAATTGGTTTTTTTTCTGTTTCTCGACATGTGTGCTGGATTTTCTTAAATTGTGTTGGTAAATGCACGGCCAAAAGGCAGTATTTTGAGCACCTCTGACCCAATTGCACATGCACTCATCTCAATTAACTCAAAATCAATGGTCGGAATACTCGATCTTGGTGAATCCCTTGGTCGAGCAGCCCATTTCGCGATGGAATCGGGAATTGTGGGTGGACAGCGACCACTTGGTCTTGAAGCTCTTCATGCAGATGAAGCACTCGTGCTCCTTTCCCTGGATCTCCGAGTGCCTGGATGCAATGTGTCGTCGCAGGGCATTGACCGACTTCAGGTGCCGGCTGCAGAAGCTGCAGCTCAGTGGTGCGAGGCCGGTGTCCTGGGCGTTTTCCTCATCACTTCCTGGTGTCGCCGGTGCAGGTACTGGTGCAGTGCGTCCGCTTTCATGAGCTGCTGGTTGAACGGTAGGCTCAGCTCCCGGTTCCTGTTTCATTGCTACTGAAATAAGGAATAGTTGATTGTTAGAAATATTTTTTTAGCACATTTTTTAGGCATCACAAAATCAGAAACTTAATAATATAAATTAAGATGTTTGTGAATTTATTTATCGCTTATTAAAATATAACAATCAGTTCCTAAAAAAAATTATCTTTTAAATATATTAAGTCTTTTTCTAATAAAGCAAATAAAATCAATTTTAAAAAATATGCTTTGAAAGCGAATTACTACAATTTAAAAATGAAATTTAGAACAAGATAACTTTTTCTTAAAGCATGACCCATTTAGTATGGTTTTGAACTTTTTAAACAAACCCACTAAGAAATAAGTGAACATTTGAATGGTTTACATGTATTCATTTATTTTTTTGTTCTCCCTCTCTCTCTTTCGCTCTCTTTGTAGCTGTCTCTTTCTTTTTTCTGTATCTAGCAAAACGAATTAAATTGATTAATTTAGTTTCATTTCGTTGGTGTGTATAAGTCAATCTACATACACATTGCTTAGGTATAGTGTTTTTTTTTTTTTTTTGGGTGGAATTGGAATCTCCGATAATTATCGCTATAGTCGAGGCTGGACCATCCGGACTATGTGATGCCAGTGCCCAGTGCCCCGGATTGATCGGTTATCCCACCACTCCGGCCGTAATAACCCGATCGTATCGTTGATAAATTCTCTTTTTCCTTTGAGATCCTAAGCAAAAATGGGGATTATAATGGGTGGGTGGGTGTTTGTTTCGGTTTGTTATTGTAGTTTTCTGGACAACTACGGCCGAGGATGCAAACCGATACGATCCGAAACAACATTGGGCATTTAGAGATATAACATTTACTATATGTGTATACATAGATCAATATGTGGATCGATAAGTAATACGTATGAGTTGTTTCATTTAACTAGATTATCTTTAGTATGAATCCGTGTATGTGTTTTGAGTTTGTCTTAGAGAGGATTTCTACAGGTTTCGTTTCGTTTTTTGTTTTTTTTTTTTTTTTTTTTTTTTGTTTTCTTTTTCTTTTTGTTTTTGTTTTTTGGAAAATACTTTTAACTAATCCTAGCGTACACGCTATGACTTCCGTTTTCACTTGGCTCGTGTGGGCTACTCAACTAAGTTATATACCAAAAATACTAAACTATGTCTGATCGAATTTTCGGGGCTTAAACTAAACTACAACTAATTTAGCTAATTTACATTCAACTGCCAACGCTCTAATGCTGAACACAGATGGCCAAGAAGCGCGCTGGGTAACTGGGTTTTATCTTAATCGCATTAAAATTTGTACACAAGGGGGTATTTAGTTTTTGTTTTCTTTGTTTTTGTTTTCTGTGTTTTTAAGTTTGTTTTCTGAGCAAAGTACAGAGCTTAATCGGGATTTGGCGCTGCCACAGAAATCTCAAGATATTTAAGCATAGGTTTGTTTTGGTTTTTGGGGGGGTTGTCTTCTAAAGGTATGTTGTTAAGTCGCCTAGCTCTATATACAAAACTGAATGGTATCAGAGTTTTTTTTTTAGTTTTTAAGAAAGTAATACATGTTTTGGCTGTCTAAGAGCTAAAACAAAGTGATCATATCTTGGGTTACATTTAACTTAAAAAGTCTATAATCAACTTGATTCCTTGTGATCGGTATCGTATCACTCTATCTGAGCTATTAAGCACCCTAAGGGCTTTTCAATCTCTAAAGACGGGTGTGTGTCTGTTCGTGTGTGTGTGTGTGTATATACATAATGGTTGTGTCAATGGACTTTTAGGGCTTGTACTTTGCCATCTAGTTGATAAAGAAGTACCTAAAGCAAGTGGTGGACTAAAATACAAGTGGTACATGTACATTATACGTGGATACATGAAATGGCTTGGTCAACGACGGGATTACCAGCTCCACTCTCCGACTGACTGACTGACTGACTGACTTGACTTAGCGGCTATTCTAGGGTTATATATATATATATAGTAGTACTATATAAGGGGTAGGGTAAACATCGACTTGGTTGCCCAATGTAAGCTAAGTTTAACGCTCCGTAATTGTGTCTGCTTTGCATTTGAGTTGACAATTTTGGCTAGTTTGGATGGGAACACGGGGGAATGGGTGTTGATGTCTGTCTGGCTGGCTGGCTGGCTGGTTGGTTGGTTGTTTGGTTGCTTGGTTGGCTTCTCGCTAAGCTGGACGTTATTAACTATATCTCTCTCCCTTATCCATATATCTTTTCGGTCCGAGACTGATGAGCACGCATCAGTTCTCCGTCTTGATGGACACCTTCTGTTCGTGCGAGATGCGTATGTGCTCCCGCAGGCTGTACTTGTTCTTGAAATTCTTATTGCACAGGTCGCACTTGCGTGGCGGTTGTGGGGTATGTTGGGTGCGAATATGTCTCCAAAGATTAACCGTGGTTATAACCATTTTGCAAAACTGACATTCTGTCCACTTATTATTGGGCGAATCTAAAAATATACAGAAAATACGTACAATCAATATAACAGTCTCTATCGATCGATCGATTGCGCTTGCTTGCTTGCTTGCTTGCTCACTATTTGAATCTCTAATTTTCTAGAACACAATTATTTTTGGAGACATATTCGACAGCCACAACAACTAATAGATAAATAAATATAACATTGAACAAATGGAAGTAACCAAATCATTTAACTACAAAAGGGATAAAAAAAAGCACGCTGATTTTATGGTTTACACACAACCACTGAAGACATTAGCTTAACTTAAAGTAAAAGAAACTTAAATAGGTGAATTAAGAACTTAAAAAATAAACACAAGTTGTTAAATCTATCAATTCAAAGCACATCAAGAGAATTAAATAAAAGATTTCATAAATTCAGCCATTTGTTTAACAAAAGCTTGATTTTTTATTATGCTTTCTTTTTTCTAATCGTAACTGATTTGAATTGTTGCTATTTGAATTGAATAAATTTTAACTTTATAATGTCAATTTAATGTGTATTCGTATGCAAGTATTTTTCAATTCTTAACAGAGAAAAAAGTAATTAACGTTTTAAAAATCATTATGGATTTTCATGATCTTTATATATTAATTATGTTCGCAAATTACTCAGTTTATAGATATTTCTGATTAAGAGGAGGAATACAAATGGGTAAAACAGTTTAAAGAAATAATGAGTACAAAAGTAATTATACTTTCAAAAATGTTTTAAAAATTCAGTTAAAATTTGATGAAAGCCCATGGAATGTAAAATCTAATCATAAATCTATCTCTTAGAGGTGGCCACTCACCATTCGTCCCGCTGGCCTTGTTGTCAGATTGTTTGACCGGCGTCACAGACACCGTAGTCGAGGGACCCGTCGCACCGCCGCCACCCGCATCATCCATCACCTGGCCGGAACCCGCACCCCCCGTCCCGCTGGCGGTGCCCAGCAATCGAGCTAAGATTTTTTCAATAAATTAGATTATTTTTCATAACATATTATATATGACTCTGATTCACTCACTCATTTCAATTTCGGTGTTTTCCGCATCCGCCTGATACTTTTCCTCCATTTCGGATTCGGTGAGTATCTCGTATTCGGAAGAATACTGGGCCACATTCTGGGCCGCTCCGGTGGTGGCGTCCTGCGACGTTTGGGGCGTGGCTCCATCCGACAGGCGGTCATCCACCTCGCCCACAATATAGTCGGGTATGTCCATCTTGACGGCGCCGCGCAGGAAAGTCATCTCGGCAGCTAAATAAGGTTCATAAAAATACATTATTATTATTATTATTACTATTAAATTACATAAAAAATGGTTTTGTGGTCCCTATTTAGTAAAAAAAACATTGAATTGTGATGTTGTTTCAAGAGAAACAATATTGCTATCAATACAAAATTATAAAAATATCAAATATAAATAACATTTATAACAATTATTAAAAAATATTTTCATTAAGCTGTGAAGGAGGCTCTAAAAATAACATATTCAGGTGAGTCTGTATATATGTACCTAAGATAGTTATGGATAATTTTATATACATTAGTATTGGTTGGTTATAGCAACTTTCCGATCTTCTCCAGACTAACTTTAGAATTTACCAAGACAAATTCGAAGAAAACTCAGTTCTTATAACCACAAATGGGAGGCAGGCTCATTGCGCCAATCCTCTCCAGACTTACTTTTCACTATGGTCTGCTCATCCTTGACGGCATAGTCAACTGTTTCGGTGGTGTAGATGTTGTCGTCGTCGTCGGAGAAGGTGATCTTGCGCTTCTTCACCGAACTGGCCGCCGGCAGGGCCACCGCATTGGTGATGGTCAGGTGTTGCGTCTGCACGGGCGTCGTCTGCTGCTGCTGCTGCTGCTGTTGCTGGGATTGCTGCTGCTGCTGTTGCTGTTGCTGCTGCTGCGGGAGTGGTGCAGATTGCACTTGGATGTGCTGGATCTGGGTGGTTTGTACATGGTGATGCTGTTGCTGCTGCTGCTGCTGGACCTGCTGCAGCTGCTGTGCCGCTGCAGCGGCGGCTGCAACCACCTGCGATTGCACCTGGCTGGCGGTGGTTGCCTGCAGCAACGTAGCCGTGGGTATTTCGATGGTTTGCGTCGCGTTTTGCGCCTGGCCCACATTGGTCACCTGCTGCTGTTGCTGCTGCTGCTGCTGCTGTTGCTGCTGCTGCTCGTTGACCGCGCGAATGGTGCTCGGTATGGTCTTGATCAGCTTGTGCTCGCTGATCAGCGGCGCCACTGGCAGCTGTGGCTTCTCCTTCTCCTCGGCGGTAAGTCCCTGGACGGCCAGGAGTTCGGCCGTCTGCAGGAACGACTGCAACGCCTCCTGCTGCACATTGACTTCGCCCTGGAATAAAAAGATAATTGAGTTACTGGATTCAGCAGTGAAACATAGAATATACAAACAAAGTCATTCTAAAACCAAATACAAAAAGTGGGTTAGGCCAAAGGTATAGTTATAAAATAAAACTTCAAGAGTTACGGGAAATCTAAATGATATAGCACTAAAATAAACAAGCTAAACTGGCATAAAACTCTCTGTTTTGCCTTATAAATATCCAAAGAGTTTGAATCAAATCGAATTATTATAGTCCTATACAATTAAGAAGGGATATTTTAAGCAATGTAGTTATGATTACTATTGAAGGGTTTAATGACCTCTAAGCGGGCCCTTCACTTGTGAGGCTTCTTGAGTACACAGTTAATAAAAGGTTTATAAACCGAATAGTTAAGTCCTAAGATAAGTCTTTAAAAGAGCATGTTTTTTTTAAGTTTTGATAAAGTTAAACGTTAATATTACATAGTTTCCAAAGTAGTTATTGTTGTTTTAACGAATTCAGAAGGTTCTTTAGAGTTCTATTAAGATCGGATGACTATGTTCTATAACTATCTGACATAACTTGGATTTCCTTGGGAAGAGTAACAGGAAATTCGACACGATTGTATCTTATATCATTTTTTAATGATCTATTAAGACTTGATAACAAAATATAAACAAATGGGTTTTTTTTTCTCTTTTTTGTTAGCCCACCTGGTACATAAACTCGATGATCGAGTTGAGATCCTCAAACTTGATGAACTTAAATATAATGACTGGATGCGGATGGGGGTTCTCCTTGAAGATCTCCTTGAAGTACGACGAGCAGGACGAGAGGACGACCTTGTGGGCCTTGATCCTCCGTCCGTCCACGCACAGGCTGACGTCCACGAAGTCGTCGTTCAGCCGGTGGTTGTCCAAGGAGTATGTGAGGTGGCGCAGGTAGTTGTTCCACCGCAGCGAGTATTGCTGGGTGGTGGCCATCGCGGCGTCCTCTTTGGGTCCACCTATCCTCTCTCTCCCTCGCCCACTCCCTCCCTCTCCCCCTATTTCCAGTCCAATCCAATTAGCGGTTTCCCGGGGGCGGGGAACCAACCAACAATAAAAGTGACAAATTCGGAACTCCTCCGGGCTTTCGGCCTTTCCAACGATATGGCGATAAACGGTTCTCTTCCAGCGGATCCCGATCCCTGCCAATAAACGCGAGCGCGCTTCGTTTTGTCCGCTTTTACGGCGATTGTTTACGGCGCTTCTTGCACACACGGGTACGGATTTTTTTATATTCTATGCCAAACAAAAATATTATACGCCTCCATTTTGTTTTTTGCCAATTTCAGAGCAGCCCTGCGCGGCGCTGCCATCCGTGGTGCTGCCATCCGGACCGCTAGGTGGCGTGTTGTCAGGGCTGCCGGATGGGCAATGGAAATGGTGGGAAATTCAAAAATACATTTCTCTTACAATTATGTTAATGATAAGAAAAGACTGCAAAATTTACTTTTCAACGTTTTGATAAATGATGATGATTGTATTACAAGTGCAAGGGATAACCTAACTGATCAAATATAATAAATAAACAGAATTAAACCAATGCCAAAATATATATATTTTTTTTTTAACTCAAAAAAAAAACATTACAAATACAATCGAACTATGTTTAATGTATTTTAAGGGCTATGCTACCACAGGCTCACTAAAAATTTGAATATCAGGCGCAGCAGAAAGCTATAGACGATGCCTCGGCACAAAAAGTCCAGGACATAGAAGATTTTTACCCGGAAACGGGCGGCATTGCTGCTTTCGGGACTCTCCTTCAAAAGGAACTCCTTGGCGCCCCGAATCCCGTGCTGGAAAAATTCCGTGTAGTTGATATTTGCGTGCTGCATGAAGCCAAAGGTTGAACTAAAAATAAATAGTAGGTTAACTATTATTACAAATTTTTAAACTATTTACATATTTTCCTAACAGTATAATCAAATTTATATAAACAGTATTATTGTAGAACTTTAAAGTTATAATATATTTTCTATCTAACTATTATTGATATTTAAAGTTAAACCCTAAGGGTCTACTTCAATAAGTAATTAATGAAATGTTTGAAATGTTTATAGATTTTATAATTTGTATGGGCAAAAAGGACTTACACTTCATTGGCCGGAACTATATCGTGCAATGCCCGGAAATTGTTGTTCTGAAAATGCCACTCGGTCATTGCAAAAACTTGCAAGGCACTGAAGGCGGCGAAAATGCGACGTTGCAGCTTCATGAGGCTGGAAAATAATTAAAGGAAATTAAATGTATATATTAAACTACCTCCTAAAGTCCACTTACAAAGGTTTTTCATTATAGAGACGGAGCAATGTGTCCACAACCACTGCCATCAGAAGATGCATGGTGCAAAACTGAAAATATATAGGTATTGAATTAAAATTACTATTTTATAAGTCACTTGTAAAGATTCTATTAAGATTAAGACTCGCATTGAAAAAAATTGAATTCAAAATATCCATCTGATAATCCAGTAACATAATTTGAATTATTGATTTTCTCATGTTATATGATACTATACCATCACAATGGACTTTAAATAATAAGGAATTATTATTACAACATACCCGTACAAAGTGAAGAACCGGACAGGTGGTCATACCACCGCCGGGCAACCAAAGCGTTTTTTCGAAGGGATTCTTTCTGATGAAAGTCTTCCCGATTTCAATCACCTCGCCCATGGTAATGGGTGATATATTTGCCGTGGCACAGTTCACCACATATAGTTCACTATCCTTGTCCTTCGATTTAGACTCGCCGATGAATTTGTAAACCGAGGTGATCAGTGTACGGGCCACAATATCGGCGGGCACAAAATCGGCCACAATATTGGGATCACAGTTTTGGGAGCGCAGAATACCCACTCCACAGGCAACCAGGAGACCAGTGGGTCCATTGAAGTTATCCGCCCAACCAGGCATGGGTTCCTCAATTGTAGAGACCACTTGAATAGATATGGGAATCTATATTATATAATATAGATTTTACAGAAATTATTTAAGCTCACCAATCGACGGACGGAAGATAAAGATAGGCAGTCTATCCCTGTACTCATTGACCACCTGCTCAGCCAAACTTTTGGTAAAGGTGTACGTATTGGGCTGGAAATTACCGTATCTGAAATTTATATTATTCATATAATATAATGATTATGATTATCAAAATAGATAGTATTAAATCTGATAAACTAAAAACTAAAAATGGTATCGGTAGCAGTTTGAAATAGTAGTGCTCACTTAAGATTGAAGATATTAAGGGTCTCCTCGTCATAGGTCTCGGCCAATTTAATGGTGGTACGCCAGTCGGCCAGTGGCGGATACACCCGCTCCTCAACTTCCAGAACTCCCGGATTCGAATAAGTGGTGGACACATGGACAAAGGCTATAAGTTTACGCCACTCCAAAGCCAACTTGACTAGTTCGTGGGTGCCACGGGTGTTCAAGAGTATGGCGGTACTTAGAGCATCATCAAAACTAAACGGAAAACACCATATTTCAGAACCTTAAAGTGGAACCACTCGATTATAAACGTACCGCACACTGGCCGCCGAGTGATAGACGATGTTTACATTACGTAGCCGCTCCAGATCCGCATCACTAATGCCCAGACCCAACTGCTCCACATCTCCGGCGATCGCCACCAATTTGGATCGGGCATCGGGCTGTTCCCTACGCAACCGTTCATATAGCTTCGTCTCCCATTGAAGTTGCAGTCGTTCCTCAATAGACTGCCCCTTTTTGGGCCTCATAAGCACATAAATCCGACTCAGATTTGGACAGGAGCGCAAAAGTTTCTCTATCAAGGCTTTGCCCACGAAGCCTGAGATAAAAATAAAAAAAATTCAAAATAAGTTTTAAAACTTTCAAGCCCTAAACTCAGATGATAAGCTTAAAAAAAATTTCATTTCCACTTTTGAGGGTAGGTATATAGACGACAAAAATAATAATGATACCCACCCGAGGCGCCTGTGACAAAGATTTCCAGATCCTTGAAAGCTTCCGATATAGTCATTGTGGTAGAGGTTTGAGTTTCATATACCACACCGCACGTATCGCTGTTCCAAGAGGTTCTGTGCGAAGTACGGCTGACTCAAGGCGGGAATATTCAAATACGGCCAATCACTTTGTTGACCTTTGATTGAAAGGGATCACACTGCTGAATATTCGGAATAGGATTACTTTGTAATTGCGGAGTAAGATACCCTGTAAACGAATTTCTTTTTTTGGGTGCCTTTAAGGGGAATATACAATTTGAAGATGTAGAACCTATTTATATGAAATAATCATAGGTCAATTTTTCAAGCCATCAAAACCCCGAACTATTATTAACCGTTATAGTCTTCGGGTATTTTAAAACCCATTCTAGATTTATCTTTATTTCATTATGTTTATCTTTTAAAGAGAAAAATCAATACTTTAAATAATCAAAGTTTGGATCCAAATTAAAAAATATCCACACAGAAAAAAGTTTGGAAGAATGATTTAAAAATATAATTAAATTGTATTTTATCATTTGACTTAAAATCGATTTTCATTGGAGGGTACTCACAATTCGATGACTTGGGCTAGTAAGACCCACTAACTATTAAATCGCTTAAGGTGCGCTACGGAATCCGCTGCGAAAAAATAAGCAAAAGAGAACCGCTAGAGAAAGAACAAGAAGCGCGAGATCAACAAAAACGGAACCGTTGAACCCCAAGAATCAATGGAGAAAGCAAGATAAGATAACTTTTACCGTAGCGCCAAATCAGGCATATGTAACTGCACTTAAAAAAATTAGAACCGAAACTAAATTTATATTTCTTTATAAAGGTCTTAATTTGCTAAGATTCATTCATAAAATATTATATAATATATAATTATAAAAGATAAATGCACCTCAAAATATTAGGGTTCATTGATCACCTCGGGAGATCTTTTTTTGTGCTTGAGTCAAAGAAAACTAAAGAGATGGTTGCTCATTTTTTTCGTCCCATGAATGGAAAATGGTTAAGAAAAACCGGATAAACGGCGTTTGGAGCCGCTTCTTTTGTCTAAGTAGCTGATAAAAGTATGCCATCGATTTGTGTTAACGTGTTTGTCTTATTATCTTGGATTTTATTTGGATCTTGGCCACTTAAAACGGAGCTTTAATCGCATCATTATTAGCATGCGCGAGTGTGAGGGAGACATCTGATCCCCACAGCTTCAGTTCAACGACCTTTCTCCCTTTACCTGCTACCCCACAAACAGCCGTTGTAACGGCACTTTACATTCCAATATTCCAATAGTTTGCTTGAAGTGGTTTCGTTTCATTTCTTTTTTTTTCAGTTGCATTTCACATTTTAATTAACATTTTCAGGCGTAAACTTATCATTTGATACGCATGCAATTAGAAAAGTGTACAAATCAAAAAAATACATATGTATGCTGTGTGTGAATATCGCACGCGAAACTGCAGCCAAGTGTGTGTATGTGGGTGAATTTGCCGGCCGGCAAAAAGAAGTGGGAGAAGAGACGGAGAGCAGCCAAAAGAGAGAGAGAGAAGAGAGAGCGGGGAAAGGCGGAAAGAGAAGACGGTTTTCGA